TCCTTGATCACTTGGTTGACAAATTCAGTTCCTCTGTCAGATCTGATTGTCCTGACCTTCATATTTTTTTCAGTCTGAAGTTGCTTTAACAGAGATGGCAACTTCTGAAGAGTTTCATTCTTTTTGGTCAAGAACACTGTCCATGTGTATCTTGAATAGTCATCAACCATCAATAGTGTATATCTTTTTCCACCAACACTGGGAGTCTCAACTGGTCCAAATAAATCCATGTGAATAAGATTTAAAGGACTAGTGGAAAGATCTCCAGCAATGGGCTTGAATGAGGTCTTCACTTGCTTGCCCTTCTGACAAGCACTGCAGAGGGTCTCCTTCTTGTATACCATGTCTGGTAGACCATCTACAATGTGATCTCTTGCCAGTTTGTTGATTGTCTTGAAATTCAGATGACTAAGCTTCTTGTGCCGATCCCAGCTTAGTTTTGAATCTCCTTTGGCTATCAGGCATACACCATCCTTTGCAGTTTGCCAATCAACAACATAGATGTTCTTCCTTCTCTTTGCTGTAAGAACTACTTCCTTAGTTGTCTCATGCTTTACATAGCAGAGGGTCTTTGTGAATTCAACTGTGTAGCCTTTGTCACAAAACTGGCTAGCACTCAGCAGGTTGAACTTCAGACCTTTGATGAGACCACTTTGGTCTCATCAAATGAAACCTTGGTGGCTGGTACCCATTATCCACCTGGTAGTCATGGTAAACAGCAGTATGATTCACTTTGGGCAGATGCTTGTGCGGTTCATGCTTTATGTTAACATATTTCTGTATAGCCTTCTTGGTTGGAAAGAAGTCCCATATACTATCAAGAGCAGAGGGGCGCTTAACCTTGGACTTCTGAGGTTGACCAGACAACCTCTTCTGCCTAAAGTTAATTTTCTCTTGATATCTGCCTTTCTGATAGCAGTCTCTGGTACAGTTATCATGAGAGTGTCTGTTGAGGTTTTGACTTTGATTATTATTTTTCTGAAAACCTTTTGGATTGTTAGGTTTTCTGCCAGGTTCATTGATTTTCAAAACTTGTTTTTGTTTAGCCTTTAACTTTTGGCTTTCTGGTCTGACTTTCTCATGAATAACCTTAGTACCAGAAGTACTAGCATGACAGATGGGGCTGCAAGTTTGTAATACTATTACTTTATTAGCCTTAGCAACTTAGGTGCTAGGCCTTACAGAAGGCTCACCAGACATTGATTCAACATATCCAAGACCATGGGTAAGGTTATGACAATCATCAATACCCTTTATGGAAGATTGCATCTTCAAAAGGCTATCATATCTGATTTAAGATCATCTCTTTCCTTAGTTAAGATATTAAGTTAGCACTCAGTCTCTTTTCTTAGATTAGAGACTTCCACCTTAAGCTTACTGTTTTCTTCTTTGATTAAGGAATAAGTATCTTGGATAGTTTTGAATTCTTCCCAAAATGATGACATTGGATCATCATTTAAGGCTGTGCCTACCGAAGAAGAAATAGAGTCAGCAGTAGAATATACCTCATCATCAGATTGTGCCATGAGGCATAGGTCTTCTGTATCAGCATCAAGGCAACAGAAGGCTTCATCTGAGTCTGAATCAGAACTGGAATCTGTCTCAGAAAGGGGATCTCTTTCAACTTGTTCTGAGATGAATGTCTTCCTTCTTCTATGTTGGTCTTCATACTTCTTTTCTCCTTCTTGTCCTTGCTTCTTGGACACTCTTGGATGAGGACAGTTTGCTTTGAAATGTCCTGGCTGTCTGCAGTTGTAGCAGAGGAGCTCTCCACTGCTTTCAGATGGCTTGGTCTTCTGGAAGGGCTTTCTGCTTGAAGATGGACTCCTTCCATCTTTCTTCATAAACTTCCTAAACTTCCTAGCAAAAGCAGCCATATATTCGTCAGATAATAAAGTAGAAGGGTCAAAATCCTTTACCTTGGAAGTGCTGGCTGTGAGGGCAGATGTGGTCCTCTCATCTGGCACTTCTTCCCTATCATCATGCATCTCAAACTCATAAGCTTTGAGATCTAAGATCAGCTTCTCTGTTGGATAGGTTTTGATGTCCTTGCTTTCTTGAACAGCAATGACCTTCATCTTCCAGACTGGGGGCAGTCCTCTGAGAATCTTCAAGTTGACTTCTTTGACTGTGAGCTCCTTCCCAAGCTCAGAGATTTCACTTGTGAGAATCAGAAGTCTTGCATGCATCTCTGCAATGCATTCATCAGGCAGAAGCTTGAAATCATCAAACTTCTTCAGGGCAATGGTCAGTTTGTTATCTCTCTCCTGCTCATCTCCAGCACCTATGAGATCAAATTTGTCCCATATTTCTTTGGCAGTTTGACACTTCTTGATTCTGTTGAAGTATCTGTTGTCAATAGCCTTGTAGAGGATGTCCTTGGCTATGTTGTCAAGGTTGTACTGTCTCCTCTCTTCCTTAGTCCATTCTGATCTAGCCTTTTCAATCATCTCGGGCTGGGTGTTGTCAGTAGCATGTGCAGTGTTTACCTTCATGAATTTGGTGAAGGGTCCTTCCTCTAAGACTTCTCACATTTCATCATGAAGTGCACAGAGATGTGCCTTCATCCTAATCTTCCAGTCATCATATTTCTGATCTGAAAACATGAGATGCTTTGCAAGAGAGTTATCCATAATAAGAATTAAAGAGGCTAAGAACAAGTGGATCTTTGTTCAAGGAGTAACCTAAGAGATTACAAGAACAAGGAGGCTCTGATACCACTTGTTGGTCCCGTTTGTGTAGGGAACAGTCTAGAGAGGGGGGGTGAATAGACTGTTCTAATTTTCAGATTTTTCACAAAGTCAAAACTGACTTATGAGAGGTGGTCCAAATCTGGTGACAGAGATGGTCGAGTTCTGAATGCAGAACTGGACTTGGCAGCGGATTAGAGTTCTGTCACGGTAGCCTCAGGGAAACACTAAGACAAATGCCTTGCTGCTAACTATTACAACAAGATTTGCTGAACACAGATTCCAAGTTCTTGAGAGTTATACAGTTAAAATCCTAAGTGCAGAAATTAAGTGTGTTAAAATAAATGACACCGGAGATTTTTATAGTGGTTCAAGGAACAACGTGTTCCTCTAGTCCACTGTTCCACTAAGCTTGTAAATCAACAGTTACAACGCCTTAGTTCCTAGAACTTAAGAAGCTCTTCACGTCTTCTTCAAGCCTAGTTGTCTCCTAGGATGCACTTCCTTACTTCCTCTAAGACTGGTCCTTTCACTGAGCTTCCCGGAAGTATACCCACTTCACTACTCCAGTTAATTGGACGTCCTTCTTTGCAGAAGATGTTTGAAAAACAGAGTTTTTCTCCAACTTGCTTCGTTACAATAGATTTGTTGATGAAGTGCTTGAAGTGTTGAAGAACCGTTGGACTTTGCTTTTTGTTGGAAGAAAAGATAGGAGAGTGGTATCTTTCCAACGTAGGCTCTTCTTGCTTTATGAAGATGGAATTTGAATCTCAAGAAAGCTTGTAGTTGTGAGAGCAAGAGTTGTAGCAAAGTTGTCCAGTTGTTCTTCGAGTAATATCTTTTATACTAGGGTTGTCTTCCCGTTGGAGGAGGAGACAACTGCATTGAATGTGCGTACTGTAGAGTTGACAGATTGGCCCCACGAATTTGATAACTTGCTATTTTTGCATAATATCCTCCAAGAATCTCGGTCAATCATCTGCAATTACTCCACAGCGTATCAGGCTCATTTAATGAACATTAAATGTTTTCCTTTTACTTCACTTGGAAAGTCTTCTAGCCGTTAGGGTATTCCCGTTAGTTTCACGGCCGTTGGAAGTACCTTCAGAGTAGCCGCAGGTCTGATGAGGTTCTCTCATAGTATTCCGATGACTAGCTCTGATGGCAGCTCTGGCGTCGAACTCTGGTGCTTCTCTGAAGAGTGGCTCTGGTAGCAGTTCTGATGCTCTCCTAAGGGGCAGCTCTGATAGCAACTCTCATGAGAAAGTCAAGAGGGTCTCTGACCAGTCGACTAAGCTAATACTTACAAAGAGAAATTCTAATACAAGATTTCTAAAGGGGGTAGTCTAAATTACTAAATAACCTAGCATCATCAAAATCTAAGTACATTTATTCCTTACAGCCGGAATCAACAGTTGACGTGAAACAAGAATTTAGTGCGGCCGGCAACGTCCTAACAGATTATAGAACAAGATTGAGCGCAAAATCTCTTGAGACGCTTATTTGCGTCCACGATTGGTTGAAGGCCCAACGTAGAACTCAAGAACAAATCATCGCCCCCACCCGCCACTTTATGGAGGAAACAACAACTGACGGTGGCGGGAATTCCTACTGATTATTAGAAAATGTATTTAATGTTTTAAATTTTTATCAATTCTCAATTGTAGTTCATATTTCAAATAAATATACTTTAACTTTGTTGTTGTCTAGGGCCTCTTGAATTAATTTTAAACTTGATTTAAAAACAAAAAATGGCCAATCCGACCCGGCCCGACCCGGCCCGACCCGAGACCCGGGCGGGTAGACCGGCCCGGACCGATTCTGGTAGAATCACGGGCCGTTACGGGGCCTTAAGCCCAAAAATTTATCCCGGTTCTGACCAGCCCGGTCCCGGTCCATGCCTAAGTACGAGGGTTTAATTCCAGAACATTTACAGGATAAGAAGATCAAGTTAGTGAAACTAACATCACACGTCTACAAAACAAACACGATATCAACGGTCCAGTTAGTTTTGTTACATGTTAGTTAGTTGAAGGTTATGTCTTTTAAAGAATGAATGTTATACGAACGAAAGCTAGGTTACCTGTATATTCTTATTCTACCTCAAACTATGTACACCTCTAACCTTCTGAAATTAATTCATGAGTGGCTACTTTTTGCAAAATTGACCTAATTTTTGTACTTTGATTTTGGGAGTCCTGCAATTAGTATTGATAAACTTCCGTATAATTCTCTGAGTTTATTAACATACTAAAGTTTTGTTTCCCAGTGAATTGACTCTCCAATTATGTTTTACTGCTCCATGCCTTATACTAGAGAGGAACCAAATATGTTTACATGAAAAGAAAGTGTGAATACATGTACAAATTGTGTTATGAATGCTATATTGATTAGCTAGACAGTCTACTAGACAGGTTTTTTAGTAATACTACAGCTGAACAAACATTAAATTGAAATTATCTACAACCCAGCCTTCATATACCAGGCCAGCCTCATATGATCCAAACAATCCACTATTTGGTGAGTACATAGTAAGACCCCGTAGGATACGGGAGGCGACTGACCCTCAGATCTCCCTTGGGAACCCGAATGCCCTTACATAACTTATACTCTATCCGTCCCGCAAAATTCTTCCCGGTTTGACTTGGATCGGAGTTTAAGAAAGTGGGAATAAAGTAGAAATGAATTGTTGGGGTTGAGCAAGAAAAAGGTAAATAAATGGTAGCCACACAAAACTTTCCAAAAAGAGAAATGAGAAGATTTTTTTGGGACGTCCCAAAAAGGAAAGCGAGAAGAATTTTAAGGGACGGAGGGAGTACAAATCAATTTTTTATTTGTTTATGTGTTATGATTGAACACACTATTGTACATTCAATCTGCAATAAAACACAAATGCAAAACTAACCTATCACATTTTCTATTCGCATCCCCATGATTCATCACCTGCCTCCTAATGACAGGAATGTAGAACAATGACTTAAAGGTACAGAGAAAGAATGAAATCAGGTTTTAAATTTTTACTCCCAGGTAGTCTTTAAATACTTCTTCTCATGCATATTAAAGCAAAGCGCCAAACACGTGAAACTCACTCTTTTAAGCTAAGCTGGGCATTTTGTACTTTAACTGATAGCTTTAACTTCTGCTCCTCCATATCTTTCAGAACAGCAAGCAGATTCGAGCGATAGACTTCACATTTCACATTTATGCTATCTAACTCGGCAGTCAATTCATGGACTTTTCTCTGTTTCTCATTCAGCTGCCACAGAGAAACTGGGAATAAATGTGTGATAAACATATTTTTCAAATTTAGATGCGCCATTTTCATCCAACTAGTTGGGGTCACGAGATGAAATTTATAGTACCGATATATTGTCTAAGATTAGTTAACACTGTAAACTTACACCGAAAAGAAAAATCACACATGTACTAATTCATTATTCATGCCTACACATTCGAGAGATAGATTAATCATCCAACCTATTGAACCATGAAATTTTTATAAGATTGGTTTTCACAGCATTATCAAGTATCAACTCTTTTCAAGACCAAGTCCTTAACAGGATTAACTCAAACACTGACCTTTTCAAAAAGGAACTGGATAACATTATAGTTCCAAAAGTGAACAGAATTTTCAGCCAAGTTCACAACATCAATGATAATTTTATTGGCAACATCAACCAGTGGTGTATCAAGAAATTTTTTTCAGAGGGGGAAATATACTTTAATATCTATAGATAACTAAAACATAATGTACTAGAACTTGGGAGAGGGGGTGCTTCATGTATACATTTAAGTAAAAAACAATGTATACTTTTAAAAACATACGTAGTATAAATTATTTTTACTTGTAAAAAAGGTACTACCTCTTTCCCATATTAGATGTCTTGTTTTAGTTTGGCACAAGTATTAATAAAGTGGTTGAAAAGAAAAAGTTGTGGTGGAAGTTTGAGTAGAATGAAGTGAAATGATATGAACCACATATTTCTTTCCAAAAAAGGAAACAAGACATTATTTTGGGACAATTCAAAAAGGAAAGTAAGACAACTAAAATGGAAATGAGGGAGTACTTTTTACCGGGGGGCATGTCCCACCTTCCCATCCTTTACAGGATGACTGGATCCACCGGTGGCATCAATCTTCAAAGCATAAGCAACAATGTTTCACTTGGATAATAAAACTAAGTGAATGCTACGACAGTCGACACCCCACAAATAAGTTATGGCACCATACCTACCATGCATTTGATTGGTCCAAATCATTATTTCGTCATTTATTTATGTTTAAATTTTTCAATTGCCATATTCTAACGGGTCGACGTGGACGAGGTGCTGTACCTTGAGGTTACCATAGAATTTACCATAAATCTATTAGGTCCATGAAGCTTTTATACTTGGAAGTTAACCACTGCTTATACAAATGTGATTGGATTTGGATTTTTTTCAGAAAAATGAAATACTATTGATTTAGATGCTGAAAACAAATAACAAATGAAAGCATAGATACGCTCACCAAGGAATCAGCTGTATGATTTTCATCTCCTGCAAGCATTTCGAGATTTTGATTTGCTACATTGGTCAACTGGGTTTCCCAAATCCTTTGCTTCTTCTCGGCGGAAACTCTTTTTGCAGCCTCTTTCAAAGCACCCATAGCAACATTATAAACAAGAATAGATTTTGCACCTTCTTCTACAAACTTCATTGCTTCCTGACGTAAATTAGTATAACGAGCTGTGTAAGATTCTTGAGAACTGTTTGGCAATACCAGACCATGTTTGTCCAGGACTAACCCACCACTAGTCCTGGCATCCCGTGTCCAGCGCTTTGAAATGTACCGGGAAGGAAGTGTCGGAATATTTTTCACTCTGAACACTGACAACACATGCCTACAAAGAATGCCTGAAAATTCAAACATCAGACAGCTACAACTCGCTTTCATCTCTATGTCATTAAACCTAACTACATGTGCTTTGTGCTTTTCCTTGAATCTGACAACACGATATGTTGTGGTTTCTCCAGAATCATCTATTTTAGTGGCAAGATTAGCGAGGGCATTAACCAATTCAGCCTGGAACTTCAAAAATACCCTCCTAGTAAAAACACTAGCCGCCTGCTTTTCCATGGGAGAAGATGTTTTTAGAATCAGAGTGCTACTCTTAGTGTCAAAATCAGCCTTAAGTTCCTTTTCGTGCCAACTGGCAATAGCTTTCTCATACAGATTAGTCAAAATGTCAATGGCAGTGGTCGCATTCAAAAACCCATCAAAGAAAGAGTTCATATAATCATTGTCATCATCTCCACCAACAAAGAGTTCCCCAAAAAATGTGTGGCGCAAGTAGATAGGAACCCATTGATGACGAGCATTGTACATTGAGTGAAGCCATTCGTTGTCCATGAGGTGATATCTAGATAAAAGTGATCCCCATTGCGATTCAAACTCATCAACCGTGTCCGGTTCGTTGATGCACTTTTTGAATTCGGCTTCAAAAGAGGGATGCATATGGTATATAAGAGACAATTTCTGCTTGGTTTCTCTGATTATGCTCCATCTACAGAGACGGTGACATGTGTTTGGAAGAACTTGAGCGACAGCCATCTGTACGTGCCGATCAGAATTGGTAGTGATGGAGAGAGGGATATGAGGAGAGATTGCTTGAAGCCAAGTCTGGAGAAGCCAGACGAATGATGTTTCAGACTCGTCAAAAATTATAGCAGAACCAAATAGGACAGGCTGAGCATGATGGTTTAAGCCAGTCAATGTAGCAAACGGAACCTTAAATCCATTAGTTATATATGATGTATCCAACTTTACGGTATCCCCAAAGCAGTTACAGTTTATCCGAGCATTTCCATCAGCCCAGAATATATTCCCATCCGAGTGTTCATCAAAATTTCCCTGAATGGCATAAAAGAAGGATGGATTTTCGGACTGCATACACTTGAGGTAGTTGAGCACATGCTGAACCCCTTCTGAAATACTTCTTTGCCGGCTATTAATATTATTCATGTCTCTTCTACAGCAAAAATCGGGTTTTTCCAATGCAGAGCATAAACAATGTGAAATTAAAAACGGTTTAGGACAGGAATTTAGCAGACTACAATCATATATGTCAGAAAGTAATCGGTACAAAACATCGAACGAAAATTTGAATAATCACGTCTCTGTTAATACGCGCATCCAGAATTTATTCAGAGCTTTGAAAGGAAACGAATTGCATCGAAGAAGAACACAAACCTAGCATATTGGAATTTGGAGCAGTAAGGCCAGTCAAAGGCTATGGTTAGCTATGGTAGCTTTACTTGAAGCATCATTTTTTTCTAGTTAATTCATATCCATGTGTTAGTCCAATGGTTAATCATCTTAAAGAGGCTCTACAAATCAATCAATCAATTGATTTATTAATTTAATATTTTGTTGAAATATTTTCAAATCTGTTAAAAAGTTGAATTGACAAAGGAAACGTAACCAAACTTTTAACAAATGGATCAAGTTGGTCGTCAACTATGATTTTGACCAAACATTAATCTAGCGCCCAACATTAAGAACCCGTTTGATAACACTGAAATCAGTTGAATCGCCTAATTCTGATGAAATGTATGAAGTTTTGGCTGAAGTGACTGTATTGGCTGATTCTGCTTATTTATGAAAAAGTTATATTTAAAATATATTTTATTGAAAAAATAAAGAAAAAATAATATGAAAAATAGCTAAATGGTCATCTAGAGTAACTTCAACCAATACAATCAGAAAAGTATCTCCAACTTCACTTTTTCTTATAATTACGCAATTCATCACGTGAAATCAAAAATTGCGTGTTTCATTAAAAAGTTCGCTGATAAGCCGAAAACAGAGTCATCGAACGGGCTCTAAGACGGCAATGTTGAAAATGCAAATTATTAAAATTAGTACAATAACATGTATTTTGTTAAGTAAAAGAATAAGGAATATCAAATTTGACAACACATACATACAGAAAAATACCAACGTTTGCTTAAATATTTCATGAGTAATACTTGTTGTATGGATTTTCATAGTCCTCCAATTGAGGACCTTACACATGAAAAATAAGAGTACGTAGTGGCAAAAGAGATGGAGTAGGCGTTGAGAAAATATTGTATAACTAAATTTTCAAAGCATTTTCTACATATAATAACGGTATGAGATTAAAATTACTTTTAATTAATTTAATATATCAATTATAAATAAATTAAATATATTTGGTAATTACCATTTTAAAGGAACCATTGGAGATGCTCTTAGAGCATCTCCAATCCTTGGCTGTTGACATTAAAAAAATCATGACACATGTCAATAGATGTATGGAATGTCTAGCCACATAGGATAAATGTCAAAACCCAAAAACTGAAATTCTCAAAGGCCTCCCCAACGCAGCATGTCGAGGTCACGACGTTTTGTCCAACTGAAATTTAAATTGAAGGCTTCTCTAACTACTCTGCCGTAATAATTTCCAAATAAATCTCTCATCCATATCCTTCAGTAACAAATTCCGGCCCGATTGTTTTGTTCTTCCTTGAATTCAATAATTAATTTTTCAATCAATTTCCTTTAATGCGCAGATGATTCTCCACATATAAGTTTTCTGTTTTGAGATAACTCACTGCTTCTTATGTCGACTGTGTTCTTCTACGCACGATTGTGCAAGGCTTCTTCTGCGTTAGTTTTCTGTTCTGCACTTCGTGTGGGAGCTCCCAGCTTTTTCACGACTTTACTACACACCAAGGTATGGGTTATGAAATTATTTTAATTACTTTTTAGTGGTGTGTTGGTGCTTATCACTTCATGAGTGAAATTTAGTGGCTGTACAAATTTGGTGCGTTGTCATATGATATAGATTCCAATTTAGTTGAAGCTTGCGCATTTCATGTTCCTACGATAATTTCAACATTATCAGTGGAAAGAAAGCTCCCACACGGTGGTTCAAGATTTGGTAGAATTTATACCCGACGTGATAGAAAAAAGCGTCGTGATATAATATTTAGTGATTATTTCATAGGCGAGCAGTCAAAGTATACACCAGACACATTTCGTCGTCGGTTTCGAATGGATATTGATTTATTCAAACGAATTATGCAAGCAGTCGAGAGTTATGGTGATTACTTTACTCAAAAAGTGGACGCGGTTGGAAATATGGGGTCGAGTCCTTTGCAAAAAGTGGTAGCAACAATACGCATGGATGTTCAACTGATTCTCTTGATGAATACGTGCAAATTGGAGAGAGCAGTGTAATTGAATGTTTAAAGAAATTTTGTGATGCTATAATAGGATTATTTGAAGAACGCTATTTAAGGAAACCAAATGAATCGGACATTAGCAAATGGAAAATCTCGTGGATTTTCCAACTCTTATTCTAGAGATTGTAGCCGGACATAATTTGTGGATTTGGCATGCATTCTTTGGCATGGCCGGTACCAATAATGATGTTAACGTTCTTGATAGATCTCCCTTATTTGATGATATCATTAATGATGTTGCCCCAACATGTGAGTTCAGAGTAAATGGTCATCAATATAACATGGGATATTACTTATCTGATGGTATCTATCCACAATACGCCACTTTAATTCAGACAATTTCACAACCATGTTCTGTGAAGGAAAAGTTATTCGCCAAACGCCAAGAATCAGTACGAAAAGATGTAGAAAGAGCATTTGGAGTGTTACAAAGTCGGTGGCACATAGTTAAAGGACAAGCATGTATGTGGAGTGCCAAAGATTTGGGGAAAATAATGAAGACATGCATCATTTTACATAATATGATTATTGAGAATGAGTGTGGTCAAGGAATCAACCCTAAAAATTGGCAACCAGATAAAGAAGAAGTTCCCCAAAATGTTACTTTGGAACACGATTTCACTTTTCTCATCTCAATGATGAATAGTAGAATGAAACAAATACAGAGCAAATCAACTCATATGAGCTTGAAGCGTGATCTCATCGATCATTTGTGGCAAATATATGGCAGCAATGAAGTTGATTGATGTATTAGTCATTTGATAATAAATCTTGATCATTAATTTTGTAGTGGATGTTTTTTAGTATTATTTTGTAGTGGATGTTTTTTAGTATTTCAATTCTTTCGTATTAGATGTTTTCATTCATATGCTATTTATAATAGTGTGAAGAATGGAGTGTTATAACTTCACACTAATATATACTCTGTACTTAGTAAAATTAAAGTATATTGTCATGTTATTTTAATGCGAATAAGATTATTAAAACAACAAATTTTGAGCTTCTATTTTGGTTAATATTTTCAAGACAAACCTGCTTAGTAAAAATACGGCCATTTATATATTCATTGTGTATGCGTGTAAATCATGTACTAGTATCATTTTACTCAACATTATGTAATCATTATTTGTATGTGTGTATATCAAGTAACATTTTAGTGCAGCACATAAAGAGCCTGTTTGTTTAGCATGGAACCAACATATTCTCTATAAACTACTACGTAGTTATTATAGATAATGCAATATGCAAAAGTTCAAAAGGCATTTAAAACTAAACCCTTTCTATTCCAAACATGGAATAGAAAAAATCAATAATGAAAATGTACTACAATAAAGAAGCATAGACCTACTAACTTACTAAGAGAATGACAAAGTACCAGCTTGATAAACTAACTTAAAGTAGCACTTAACACATATGTTTAGCTTGAAGAGACCATCTTTTTTCCATTCTTTCAGAATCTCAGTTTGCATGATTTCATAAGAGGTTCGAACTGATTCTGATAACTTGCTCAGATCTTGGTTCAGAATGCACCTCTGATCTTGTCTCCTTTCTTGTTCTAACTTCATTGCACGGTCTTCGTCCCTGGACTTCTGAGCTTTCTCCTTCAACTTCTGATCATTCTCCTTCAGTTCTATCTCCTTTTTCATCACTTGCTCTTTTAACTGAAATTCTTTTTCATCCTTCTCTTTTCTGAACTCCATGGTTGTGATATTGAAAGTAACTTGTTTGTCTAGAGTACTTTGCAGCTTATTCAATGCATCGACGACGTTGCTTTCTTCATGTAGCTTTCGCTTTTTTTCTTTACAAGCTTTCCTTCCTTGTGGGCACACAACACCTTCAGAGTTGATGGCATTGGTTGGAGGTTGATCTTCACCGATAGGAGTCGAAGATTCATCTACCAACAGTGCTTTAGTTTTATCAGATTTACCTTTGGATTGTGCCTCTGTCTTAGTAAGATTTTCTGAACACCATTTTGAGTTCTTGGCCAAGAGTGTCCAGCAATGAAGAAATTTGAAATGAGTCCCATAAAAATCTTTGTACAGCTCAAATGCCTTCCTTAGCTACACAAAGAAAAGACTACTAAATATATTAAGTATTATAATATTAAAATACAGGATAATACGCTTACCAAGTCCTCTGAGTTTGAACCACTTTTTGGATGTCTTTCTAGTTGCTCGTATATCGCCACAAACCGTGAAACTGCACCTCGGGTCTGGTGCCAATGACACTGTAAGGCATTGCTATTTCTTTTTTTTGTGTGCCCAGGCCCCATTTTCTCCTTCCAGACATCTAGTATACGATTCCACATAGTTGTACTTTGATTAGTTCCCACATCAGCATCTGTAGATACATACAACCAGGCCTCTGTCAATGCAACCTCCTCTTCGGTTGTCCAGTCTTGCTTAAGTGTTGCAAGTTGAGAGGCTTCAGTATCTTGAATGCCTTTTGCCCTCTTTTTTTATGCATTCGATGACTCACCATTCTGAGTACTAACAGGAGCATTCATCATATTTTGGAAAGAGAACCTGGGCATATTGTTTTGATCCATATGAACAGCATATGATCCATTACTTGGATCAAAGTGATATATAGGCTGCATGGGGATGTTCAATGGACTGAATTGGTTCAAATTATGGGGTGGCATCACATAATTCGCAGGTTCATTGGCACTAGCAAATGAAATGTTAACATTGTCTTGTGAATCCATTTTTAGGTACTCCAATACTTCATATGCATCACACCACACAACAAAATAAAGAGCTTTTGTTAGAATAAACATGACAAGTTTGTTATACATATAAACATGACAGATTGGAAAATATCTTATGTGGTAGTATTACTAAAGTGCTACTTCTCTCTCTCTCTCTTTTTTTTTTTTTGTCCCGGTCGGCAAACCACCAAAATCAGTGGGGCAAATGCCGGGGAACATTTGCCGGGTTTTATTGAAAAAGGAAAAGAAACAATTACACAAGAGGGGGACTATACCAATACCTCTTGCAAAAGAAACCCAAGAATGCAAAAATTATACAAACCTTCTAAAAGAAGGATAATTAAAGTAATCTAGAGTAAGTGCAATTTTAATCGGGCCCGGTAAGGAATCCAAATCAGTCCAAAACGTGAATTGGGCCGGAGATACATCTGCTAGCAAATGAGCGGGTTCATTCCCCTCTCTCAGAACATGCTTGAAACAAATCCCTTTCCTAAAATAATCCTGCCTGAACGCATCAATTTCTTCTTTCCAACGGCCAAATTTCTTACCTGAAACGTAATCAAGGATCTCCTCAGCATCGCTTTCGACTTGAAAATGATTATAGCCTTCAAGTATCGCCCATCGCGTAGCTTTTATCACCGCCAGAAGTTCCGCTTCGAAGCTGGAGAAGGCGTCAATCGGAAATGAAACAGCTGCAATCATCCGGCCTTGCTCGTTTCTCAGTACAGCTCCACCTGATGCTCTGCCAGGTATGAAAGCAGCATCTACATTGAGTTTATATCCTCGCTTAGGCTTAACCCAATGAACAGGCTTAAGAATCTTCTGTGTTAGTCGAAAATTGGGAGGAATGAAGTTTTCTTCGAAAAGAACATTGTCAATAGCTCTAAACTTCATCTGATTTAGACTTAACACCCAGGACTGCGTATAATGTTTAATTTTACATATTGTCATTGCAATGGATGGTACAACCATCTGAGTCCCCCAAATTAAACCAGAGTAAATCTTCCAAATGTGCCAAACTATGATTCCTGGGAGATTATGTCTAAAAACATCAATAAGAGATTTGTAACCTGCTTCGAACCACCACATGAAAAAAATATGTCTGATAGATTGAATAGTGTTAGAGACAGGTATACTCAAAGCCTGATTGAAGTAATTCCAGATAGCCCTAGAATAAGAACAACCATAGAAGACGTGATTAGTAGAATCACTATTACTCCTACAAAGTGGGCAAATAGAGGGCCGAATCACCATTTGGAACCTACTGAGGTTGTCAGAAATAGGCAGAATACCCTTAAATAGCTTCCAAAGGAATATTTTCACCTTTAGTTGTTGATTTGGATGCCAAATATGTTTAAAAGAGAAAGCTGCTCCCTGACTGTGTCTTATAGAATTATAGGCAGATTTGAAGGAGAACTGACCATCATTTGAATGTTTCCAGGTTAATTGCTGAGCAGAAGAATCCACTAAAGAACTTGCCAGATCATTGATGGAACATAATCTTTTCCAGACAGGTGAGTCATACAGCTTAGGTATCATGTTTTCTCCACGTGGATATCTATCCTTCATAAACTGAGCCCAGTAACCTGAAGATGACTTAAGCTTCCACCATAATTTTAAAGAGAATGTCTTCTCAATATCATTTAGAGAGCGAATATCAAGTCCCCCCTCCTCTTTAGGATAGCACATTTTGGACCATCTTAGCCAATGATGTTTGGGCTTGTCTTTTAAGGAGCCCCAAAAGAAGTTAGCCATTTTCTTGTTTAAAATTCTTTTAATTCTTTGTGGCAGTTTCTCAACAGCTAAAAGATGCATAGGAATAGTTCCAAGAACATGCTTGATCAAGATAAGTCTCCCTCCCTGAGTGAGATTCTTTTGTTTCCAAGTAGAAAGCTTGGAATCAAACTGTTGAATGATATGGTGACAGAAATGATGTCTATTAATTCCTTTATGCAGGTGAGCACCTAAATATTTCAGTGGAAGGAAACCTTTCTGCATACCCAAACAGTCTTTGATTATCTGGCTTCTTGTATTGGCATGCTTACCATTCACAAATGAGCTTTTGTCAAAGTTCACTGCCTGGCCTGAGGCATTCTGGTAAAGGGTGAGAAATTTTCTGAAGTTGAGGATAGACCTAGATCCACCATTCAAAAAAATAAGCAGGTCATCTGCATAGGCTAAATGGGTAACTGGTTTCCCAAATCTACCCAACCAATAAGGTTCAATCAAACCATTAGAAATCTACCAGTTTAGTCCTCTTGAGAAAGCTTCTGAGGCTAGGATAAAAAGGAAAGGGGAGAGGGGGTCTCCCTGTTTGACTCTAGGACTGCCATTAATGAGCACAGAAAGATATGTAGCCTTCAAGTTATTTAAGACAAGATTAATAAAGTGCTCATGAAATCCAAACTTCTGAAGTATTTTAGCTAGAAAATTCCATGAAAGTCTATCAAAGGCTTTGGCCATGTCTAATTTAATCACCAAATTTGATCCCAATCTTCTTATCAATAGCATGAATCATTTCTTGGCCAATTAGAATCTGATCTGCCATATCCTTCCCTTTTAGAAATCCAGCTTGTTCGTTGGAAATTAATTTAGGCAGAAGAATATCTAATCTATTAGCAAGCACTTTGGTACAAACTTTGTTAACAAAATTAGATAGACAGATGGGTCTATAGTCAGCAAAAGAACCTGGATTGTCTTTTTTAGGTATAAGAACCAGAAGTGAACTGGAAAGACCTTTAGGAATAGGAACCCCAATAAAGAAGTCTTGAACAGCATTAACAACATCCTTCCCCACAATGTGCCAACATTTTTTAAAAAAATTTCCATTAAAACCATCCGGACCAGCAGCACCATTTTGATTGAGAGCCCAAACAGCTTCTTTGACCTCTTCAGTATTAGGTAGCTCAACAAGTGCTCTATTTTCATAATCATCCACTAATGATGGAATATATTCCAGGATTTGCTCAGAATCTCCTTCTTGCTCCTGTGAATAGAGAGTGGAGAAGTAATGGACTGCAGCCTCCCCTATCTCAGGTATTGTCTTTACAGTTACTCCATCTGAGTTTTTAATAGAAGTTATCTGTTGCTTTCTATTTCTGATTTTCACATAAGAGTGAAAGAATTTAGTATTTGAGTCCCCATCCTTAAGCCAATTAAGATGAGCCTTTTGCTTCCAAAATTTTCTCTCCAATTTGTATTTGGCCATGAGAAGAGCCCTTTTAAAAGAAGTGCTACTTCTCTCATGTCCAAAGAAAGCACACATGTGTCCATACTTTATATAGTACTTCGTAGCATTTTAGTCTAGGATAAGGTACATTACTTTTCAAAACATTTATGCATTCTAGATATAGCATTGTTGGGATATTAGGTCCAGGCCCAATATCCCTAGGCCCAAATCTGGGAAGAAGCAGCAGGCCCAAGGCAGTCCAAAGAATTCCCGAACGGCATTCGGGATAAAGCTTCTACTTTGAACATTCCAGGAAACAATTACGCCAAAGTGCCAATACCCAGATCCCGATCGGTATTCGGGATACTTCCATAACAAAATAACATCTATGGCGGGGTCCCACACACCGAACACCTTACACCGAACGGGCAATCAGCAAGTGGAGGCCGCATTTAATGCTGGATCATGGCGGCTACAAGTGGGGGCGTGGGTGCTTACATGGCAGAAGTGATAGCCTACCAGATTCGACCATGTGTCCACCTTACCCATCCCCATTTTAGTATAAATACCCCTGTTTAGATCATTGTAAAGGGTTAGCATTTTAATACTCAGAGCTTAGCAATAGATTTACGTCTCTTATCCTTGTATTCTCATACTCATCTACCGTTCGGGTAGTTTCAGTGTAATAGCATAATTACTGAATACTAGTAAGCTCCTGAGTTGGATAATATCTCACTGTTTTATATTTTATACATTTTCCAACCCAATATCCCTACAATATCCAAAGCTTGTGTTGGGCTTTCGGATCTTTGGGAATTAACCTCAACATTGGCGCCGTCTGTGGGAAACTCTACTAAAAGCCCCAAGCAAAACCTTTGTTCTACGTACCATTCTTTGAGATGGCTAGAATTACAACCGCGACACCAAGTTCTACATCCGGGGGCCGAGGAGGTAATGGGTCCTCTGATGGATGGTCCATGCAAGGAAACGCCAGTGGCAGTGCCACTCGGGAATTTGAGGGCATCATCCCTCGGGACGTAAGGATGAACCCTCGGTTGATGAGGGAGATGGCAGAAGCCATGCAACGCATGGCGGATGAACATGAACAGGGATACACCGATGAGACTCATGAGCCTTTATCCCCTATTCATCCTATGTCATCCTTTGACGAAAGAGAAGACACTGAGACCACCACGGCCTCAGCACATTCCCAGGAGCATCGAGGAAACCACGGGAGAGCCCACCCTTCCAGGCGTGCACAGCCCGCCCCAACCAGCCGAACCCCGTCCGCACCTTCGAACGGATATAGGGAACCTACCCCCATGGTAGACCTTGTTGGACAGCACTTCCAATATGTCCAGAGGGATGGGGAACGCTTCATCCGGAGGAGAGCTAACACAGCTGCCCCTCCCCCGAACAGAATGCCGGAGTATGTGGACGCCAGGATACCACACACTCCCCGAACGGCTCAAGACGAAGAAATGGCCGAAATGAGGAGACAGATGACTGAGCTCAGAGAGCAGGTCAATCGGACGCCCCAACAAACCCCGCCAGCACGGGTTGGGATTACTTCTCCCTTTACCAGGGAGATCATGAGCGCCGAGATTCTGAGGGACTGCCGTCCCCCGGCCGGCCTAACATACGATGGGGTGGGAGATCCCCACGTACACCTGAGGAGTTACCAGGGTGGCCTCATGCTATTAGGGGCCACCGACGCAGCAATATGCAGGCTGTTCTTCAGCACCCTTCGGGGACCAGCCCAGGAATGGTTCGGAACATTACAACCCGGATCGATCGGAAGCTTTGCAGAGCTATCCACCTTATTCTTAGCCCAGTTCACCTCCA